GGTATACTGTAGTTATATGAAATATAAGAAAATAGAATTCCCCTTCTAATGCAACATGAAAAAAATCACTTTTGATGACTCTAAAAATTAGTTTGTACTTATCTGTTTCTTTTCCCTTAAAATTAACATCAATTTTCTACTAAACTAATAAAAATATGATAAGGTTTTATTTGTAAAACCTAATTCATGTTGTTTTTCAACAGTTGTCAAGTACTACTATTAACTGTTGAAAGATGACAAAAACTAGATTGAATCACGTTGGATTTGGTTTAAAAAGAAATCCTTTACATGGAAAGGAGAAATAGAAGATGGAAAAATTAGTGAGGGTTTTTGGTACTCCTCAGAATATTCTGTCTACCTGCTCTACCTACTGCCTGATGCTTTTCTGAAGGTGGCTCTTGACTCTGACATTCTATACATGTGTCCCCAGCATAGGGTACATTTTAAATAAATGAATAAACAGTGATTTTAATTTATTCATTTGTTTAAAAATGAAAACTTGTTCTAAATAATTTTGTTTTTACTTTTCTCCACTACATTTCTCTCTACCATTTCTCCACTACAAAGCCCCAGAAGTAGCATAAATGACATTTTAATAACATAATGAAACTACAAGTAAAATCCTGAGGGAATAATTATGCAGGGCCTATGCCAATTTGGATACTATGATTATCCATCTTACTTTGTTGCAAAGATGCACACACACTTTTCATTCATGATGGTAAAGCACGGCATTATTTTATTGAATCAACAAGTGAACAGCCCCAATAAAACAAAAGATTTTATTAAATTGTTAACATCTAAAGCTAGGTTTAAAAAAACATCAATCTTCTACTTCTTTAGAGAGCTTGATTGCCCTCTAGTGGGGTGAAAAGTTAATGCAGACTCCAAGGTTTTCCAACTGAGAACTAGGAAAGGGAAAAAAGCCTTGGTTCTGTGAACAGCTAGGTCACTAGCTAATTCAGTATTTTTAAAAAATTGTCACATGAATTTCCTGAATTTTTTCATATAAAGCCACAGACTGTGTGGCAACAGAATGATTTGTATGTTTTTCACAACCAAAAGGAAATTGGTGTGAACAGGGTTGGCTATCAGCAGTATGGGTTGACCACACCCAACTCCAGATTTGTGCAGTTTGCTCCCATCTGCCCTGAGACAGCTTTCTCCAGACCGGCAAGAGAGGAGCTCCTGGGGAGGCACGAAAAACGCGGTGACTGATAACTCAGGAATTTTATGTACGTAAATTGATTCATCTTCCTTTCATATATTCAGATTTAAATAAAATTCTCCTTGATAGCTACTATCAGATATTCCTAGAGCTAAGTAGCTATTTTGATCTTCAGTTATGAAGAAAAACACTATTTTATTGCATGAATCAGCTTTATGGCATTCTGAAGGACCATTTCCTAAATCTAAATAAAATGTAACTTCTTACAGAATTTTTATTACTGAGAATGAGTGATTTGATGAAAGTCACACTGCGCCAATCCATCCATTAGCAATTAAAAAACCAACTGTAATGAAAACTCTTTCTAAAGCAACAAATAAAACCTTGCAAAAATTTTAAGGGCTAAAGGAAGAGGCAATCGTTCTAACAATAAAAACTCCTCCCTCCTCTTCAGAATGGATAAATTCACTACATGTGTATAAGTCTTATTACAAAACCGTCCTGAATTTCAACTAAACAAAATTGTGGATTTAAATACCACAGATCACCCAATCTTGATCCTTTAAAAATATTATTTCTTTCAGAGGTAACATGCAAAGACAAACACCAAGTCATCTACTAATGTCGCTGACACAGTAGCAGCAGCAATGTGCAATGCCGGGTCACACAGTGTTATCTTTAGGCTCAGCTCATCCAGTATACACTAAACATACGTGATTAATTGATGAGCTGCCTTTACTTCCCTTCCAGTTTTGTCCTGAAATTCTGATCAAATCTTCAGCTTTTTACTTCTCATTATTTACGTATCAATTTAGAAGGTGCCTACTTCGTTGGAGTGGATAATGGGTGATCTATGTATTTAGTACAATCATGCTGAATACAGTAATTACTTAATGAATCAAAAAAGCACTCTCCTTGGTGATTCGAGGTTTACTGTTTTAATATTGTAGAGGTACTCTTTTTGTTCATATTTGTCAATGCAGCTTAATTATGGCAGAAAGGATCTTTGCATTTGTCATATTTGGGGTGGCATTTTTATTGCATGGCATCTACCATTTCACGATCCATGTTTCTATGTTGAATGAGTCTATCAAGAACTGGCAGTTTGAAGAACAGTTTTTTTGGGAAAAAAGTTAAAATTTTGTGCACAACTATATCTAAATGTGTAGAACTATAACCTCATGCAGAAGATGATGATGACTCAGTTTTATAGAGGTACAAACGCATAATTGTCACCCATCGCAGCCACAATTCTCTGTGGAGAATTTACTAGCCATCCCAGGCACACACCCTGCCCTTCGCAAGCACTTGCACAAATGTTCCAGTCAAGGAACACACAATACCGTCAGGAAGTCAACATATATTTGCTTTATAACTTAAATGAACAACCAGAGTTTCCTTTTTTTTTTGAGGGAGGAAGGAGGGGGGCACTAGAAGGAAGAAAAGTGAGTGCAAGGGTTAATTCATAACCCAAAGCAGTCAATGTCCTTTTGGAACAAATGAAAATGGAACTGTCATGGAATAACCACGATTTGAGATAATCATACTAATGATGATGATGAGTTTGTAGCCGCCCTCGGTAGCAGACACCTCAGTGGCGGCGTAGAGCGGGGTCGCCCCCACCCTGGCTTCTGGACAAGCGGGTGAACTGCGAATTGTGGCAGTAGCTCAGGACACTGCGCAGAAACCTGTCTCCCCGGCTGCGCCCAGCTCGGAGAGGGAGGGGAGCGCAGGGCGCGGCGGGAGGCTCTGCAGGGCTGGCCACGCTCCACGCGCCATGGCCACGTGCGCCCCCACTCGGCCGGCGGCCGACAGCCGGAGCCCCAGCTGGGAGGGGTGGGGCTGAGCCGCGCCCCGCTGGTGGGCAGAGGGTCTCTGAGCGACCCCTCCGCGGGGTCTCCATCTCCCGTAATGGGAGAGAATACAGGGTGGGCTATGTGGCTGGGCTGGGGGAAAATGTCATTGAACTCTGCGGGCCGCGGGTGGGCAAGAAGAGAAAACCTCCCCGCATCCCAGAGAAGGGGTCACCTCTGCGGTCCGGCGGCCTGGAGGGGTGGGGCCAAGCCTTTGTGTGGCCCGGCGGGGTGCGAGCCCGCTTTCCTGCAGATGGACCCAATTGGTTGGGAGGGGCTCGTCGCGGGGACCAAGAGCCACGCCAGGTGTCTACACACCCTGAGGGAGATGGGCTGTTCGGGACTGCGGGGCTAGAAAAGGGGGGTGGGGTTCCAGGACCGCAGACCACTTATCTGCCCGACCCTGCCTCCCAGTCCCCCCACCTCCTTGCGCACCCATCTCTAGCCAGAGGTCTTCCCAGCTCCGCGGGAAGGGTGGGGCAGGGCGGAGCCGTTCAGACTGAGCCCTTCCCGCAGTTTTTCCCCTTCTCCGCATCCCGCAGCCGGGTCCTTGGGGAAGGGTGCTTCCAGTCGCCACCGGAACTCACTCCTCCCACCAAACCCCAACCACGCTTGCCCACCTTTGGGTCACAGAGCGCCTGAACCATGGGGCACTTGGGTGCAAGACCATTTAGGCTGAAAGGCCCTGGATCGGGAATCTCGTTCTGTCTCAGAGAGGCTAAACCTATGAAGTCGCCAGAATTTGGCCCTGTCCCACCCACAAAATGGCAATTTCACGTGGCTTAACTTAAGACCTTGACCTCTTTTGCTTTATATTAGGTTTCCTTATTTTTATCTGTATTATTGTATGTGCACAAATCTAGGTTCCAGAAGCTTTTCCCCCAAAATCGATCAAAGGAGTTCAAAGAAGCCTTCATCTGCGATTATGTCCAAATATCCTATTTAATGTGCGTCTGAAAAGAAAAATGTTAGCCCACTCCCCTCTTGCTCTAACAGAACAATGAGGCCAGGGTGGGGCGGGCGGGGTGAGTGGTCAGGTCTCTTTTGGAAGATGAGGCCAAGAGCCAGGAGAGGAGAGTGCGGGGCGGGGCGTGACGCCGCTGTCCCCGCAGGGCTGGTCTGGGTTACCCACCCGACCCTTTTCTACTGAAGATGCTGAGCGGAGCCGGGTGGGGGCGGCGCGGTTCCGCACAGGGTGGGGCTGTCCGCATTGTGCGACCAGCGCTGCAGGTGCCCCCGCCCCCCCCCGGGTCTGCACACAAAGAAACCCCACCCGGCTCCCGGCGAGCCCGGTCCCTCTACCCCTCCCCTCCCCACCGCGCGCTTCCCCGCCCCTGCAGCTGCCCACCCGCGCCCTCCACGCCCTCCCCGACTTCCTTTCTCCTTCCCTAAAACAAAGGAGCGAAGGTCCTACCCCACCCCTCCCCCCAGCAGCCTTACCACCCCGCACCGCGCCCGGAGACTAGCGGTTTTTCTAAGGAGACAATACCATAAAATGTGCTCCGCTCCTCCTCTCCCGTCCCCACCCATCTTTCAAACGGCGTAGATGGGACCTCTTTGACTTTGCATTTTTCTCTTTCTCCCTACCTCTCCTATCCCCATTTTCTTTTTAACTGCAGAAGAAATATAGGACGTTACAAAGCACTTTCCGAAATGTTCCTTAACCACATTTACGGCAAACAGTTAAGACTGCCCCCATCCCGCTCGTTTGGGTTTTAACGGAAAATATGGAAACGAAAAATTCCCTACCCATGAGAAGGGCAACTTACCTGCTTCTTTCTTTTAAAATAAATTCTTCGCTTTAGATTCCCAAGAAAACCCCTTTTGCCCTCCCACCTCCCCTAGAGATACCGCCTATCTTCCAGGGTCCTGTGCTGTTTCCTTATAAAGTATCTCCGAATGCTTTCAAAAGCTCCAAGAGAAAAGGTGAAAGGTAGGCTCCAGGTGGAGCCGAGGGAGAAGGAGGCGCGATGCCTTACCCATTGCTGTTTTAGCCATTGCAGGGGAGTGTGCAGATGCTGAGCGGCGGCGAAGGCGAAGGGGTCCGGCTACAGCAGCGGAGAGAGCGAGAGAGGAGACTGAATAAGGCACTGAGTCTGCAGAGTGGGACCGTGCTAGAGAAAGAGCAAGAGGCAGGAGCCCATGAATAATTATCACTCAGAAGCTCAAGCAGATTGGCTCCCAAGGTCCCCTGACATGACTCCCGCAGAGTCAGAATCTCCAAGCATTAAATATTGATCGGCCAATGGTGCTGGAGTACAAAGTACCAGAATGCAGTTTGAAATGGAAATCAGTTCTTCCCTGCCAGCTCCCCCTATTTTTGGGGGCCTGATAGTATAGTCCAAGTAGAGTGGAGCCTTAGCTGGAAGCCTCCTAGGAGCTAAGAACTGGGCTGTGCCTACCTAAGCCTCGGGAGACTTGACTGTTCACACGTTTCACTGCACAAATAGGCATAAAAGGGGGAAGAAATTCAAAGGACTGAAAGTCCTTACAGTACTTTGGCTGGTGTAAACATCTGTTTAAACACAGTGTTTCTACTTTTCATGTTTTCTCTTTTACCTTTGGCTCTGACCTTGGTAGATTCTGGTCTTCCAGGGCTAGCCCATGTCTGGTTGTTGTGACAGTTCAGAACCGTCTTGCTTTATTGTCCTTTACCTTCTAGCACAACTGGACTCGGTGTCCCTGAATTCGTGAGGGTATCTTAGGAGAGGGAAGCCTGGTGTTTTCTCTCCTTGGCACCCAGGAAGGGGCTGTTGACTGCTTGGGAATAGGAACAGCACTTAAAGTCCACTGGAGACCTAGCAGAATAGAGACAGAGTTTAACCTCCTGTATCCCTGTGCTGTCCATATGGTAACAGGGCATTAGGGGAGCCACAGGTGAATGCCATCCTGCTCTGGAGGTGTAGGATTACACAGATGGAAACCTTAGTGACCTTTCCAGGGCTCTAAAGGGAACTCTTTACATTGAAAGCTCTGTAGAGATGAAAGACATGTGTGGGGCATGACTTTTCTGAGATGTAGAGGGATTCCATTAATTTAGGCCAAAGAAATAAAGTGTTCCAATTCAGACTGAACAATGTGGCCTGTGAGGATCTTTGAGAAGAGCTGTAAAAAGTGACTTCCTTTAAAAATAAGACATTCATGAACTCATTTCTTTATATTTAATGAATGCCAGGCATTCAGATAGTCTTTCTAACTTGACTATTTATTGAGCATTTGTTATGCTTAGTACTGACAGTACAGCACTGGGGAATATTTTAGGACATGCTCTCAAGGAATTTTTAACCCTGCTAATTTGACTCTCTGTAATTTTATTGGATCAGTCTAAACTGATGCAGAAATTGTGGTTTTGATATTAAAAATTAGGCAATGAATCACTAATCCAATGTCTTTGAAAACTGAAAGAATAGCATATTGTTGCAATCATGAACATGTGTGAAACCTTGTCAAGCTTCAATGTTATTAAAAATGAGATTTTTCTCTTAATGAAAGAAGTTTTTTAGCAGTTTTCTATCAAACCACGTTTCAAAATTTCTTCTTTTTTAAGGACTTTTTTTTTTTTTTTGAGACAGTCTTCATATGTAGCCCAGGCTGGCCTTGAACTCATAATCCTCCTGACTCAGCCTCCCCAGTGCTGGGATTACAGTCGTGTACTATCATGCCCTGCTGCAAAAATTCTTTTTAAGGTCGTGCACAATGTGGTTTCAAATGCATTTGAAAATATCAGAGCACTCTCCTTGGTGCTGAAATAAATGTTTTCTCCTCCTATTAATTTGTAAAGACATTTTAACACCATGGACATCTTGCTGAATGATAGGAAGCCACTGGAACTGGAGCAGTTCTGACCTGCTGAATCATGGGGAAAATAAAAAAATTGAAATGGAGATCAATAAAATTATTTCTTGAACAGGAAGATTAGAAATGGTTATTCCTGTCATTGTGCAGGTCTGTGACTATGACACAGCAAAAGAGTGCTATGGAGATTGTCTTGCTGGAAATAAATAACCATTTTCTCTCTCTCTGTAGTCATTTCCCAGTATAAATGTGAGAGTTGATGTCCTCTCAGTGAGGCAGTTATCAGTCATGAGATGAGGGATCTTCAGCATGCCTTTGTGACTAATATCTTTCAGACATTCCTCTTCTTCCCATCATTCTCAGGCTAAGTGTCACCTCTACACATTCTTCAGCTGCCGTGGAGAACAGGGTCCTAAGTCATGCCATGAATGTTTGTTTTTAACAACTACAATTGGCAATTCAGTGAGATCTATGGCACTTTTGGTCATTAAAAGGAAAACAAACAAAAAACTCATTCTACTGTCCTAATTTTTTATTCTCTGGTGAGCATTACTTATTGATGGATAGGAATGTGAGAAGGAGATCAAAGATCAGATGCTTGACTCTTTGCTATTTTGACTTTCTGAATACTGGCCACCTAACTCCAGTTATGTATTATTTTTAAATAATGTCAAGCAGGGAGTGGATAAGTTAAGATGATTTACTATAGAATATAAAGATAGCAGGTTATTGTCAACTGCCCAAGAAAAGCCAGATAAAGAGCTGGGTCATGATAAGTTACTGGTTTTAGTTTCTTTTAACCCTACAGTGTGCTATCATACATCTTGGTCTGGGAGAATAAGGGCAAAATAGGAACAGGAAAATTATTTCATATTCAGTATTTTTTCACTTATTCACACATTTCTTAGCAATGCATTTATTCAACAAATATTTATTTAATAAAGTTTTAGGCTTTTATATTATAAAGACAGCCAATCTTCTCTCTACAGTCTACAAAAAATGAAGAAAAAAGTAACTCATGTCTATGACAATGCTATTAACTTTGGAAGATGAACATCATCCTCTGTATCAATTATAACATTTTGGTTGCAAATAATAGAAAAAATACCAAACTGGCTCTGAAAATAAAAGGAGATTTGTTGGCGCATCTCACTATAAAACTAGAGTGGGATCCAGTTGGCTTTTCCTGGAGCAAATGGTTTTGATGGGTATTGGTATGCACCCAAATGAAATCATAGATACTCAATAAGTCTAGTGTAAAATGAGGACAGTAGCATGATTGCATAGGGATTTGGGTTAGACTGAAGATAATCAGATACAAACTGCTTATATAATCATAGATAGTTAATAAATTGTTAGTCCTATGACTGTTTATAGCTTCCAATACATTTAAAGCTTTAAGAGTAAGGACTGAGTATTGTGTATCATTATATCTTCTTAGAGCTTTGCTTCATGATTCATATGGTAGAAATGAATGCTTGTGAAATAATAAATGCTTGTGAAAAAAAAATAATAACAACAATAGCAACAACAAGAATGAATACACTGTTGCAAATGATTCAAAATGATCGTTTCCAATCACTCCTTTTTGCTTAGCTCATGTTGAAAGCAGGTGCTAACTATTTACCTATTTATTTATTTATATCCTGCCCCATTCCCAAAAGGGCATAGGGGGATAGACCTCACATCAGTAGAAGGACCTTGTTAATTTTTGTTATCTTCAAGAGCAATAAGCTGAAGTTGTAGAAACCAAAGATGTGCTAATAGAACTTTTACATTCTGTAGGTTACAGCATATTGGCTATTACCTTGGCAAGGAGGCCTGAGGTGTTGATTTCCTTCCAAACTGGAGAGGAACAGTTGCTTTGGAGGATTAGCTGATGTCATTTAAGATAGTCATATGATTTTCTGCTATTAATAATCAAGTGCCTGGGAAAGAGCCCAATAATTATTAAAAGTTATTAAGATATGAAACATTGCTAAGGTTGAATTCATTGCTATGATTTGACTTCAGCTGATTACAAATGAGGTTTGAAAAATAAAAGCCACAGAAAATTTTAGGTGGTTAGAAATTTATGATATCACACAGTTGTAGCTGAAGATATCTAGATATGCCTCTAAAAGAATCACACACAAATCAAGAGTTAATTGACAAAAGTTTGATTATTTTGATATATCTAAATCCTTATAGATTACTGGAAAATAAAAAGGATCAGCTGTTGTTGAAGAGAGCTGTCCAATATGGTTTGTTCAAAAGGAAAGTCAAGTTACTCTTAGTCAGAAAAGCTGATTTTCTTATTAACAATGCAATCTATAGTGTTCAAAGATTTGCCAATGTATTAAAGTTATTTTTGAAATGCAGAATGACCATTATTTTCTCTTAAATTAACTACTTACAACTGAAGAGTGATTGGTTAGTTATTATCTCTTTTTCTTCAAGTCTAACTGGGACTTTTACATATATTAAGCAAAACAACTTATTGAAATTAGTAAATCCTATTGATGGTTTTATAATTGAATTTTTCTGGAAATGAACTTGCTCTAATCATAAAAAATCTTGATATAAATTTAATAAGCTAAATCTTTGCTTCAAGTTGGTAATGTTGTAATGTAATGTAATGGTAATTGTTGACAGCAATGGCCATAACTTCTCCCTTCTCGCCGTGAGTTGATTTACAACTTGAGTACAAGGAGCACTTAGTTGGAAGACTCAGAAGCCAGGAAGTTGTTTCCCCTTGGGATTCTACTCTTCTTAGCTTACAACTCTGAGTGAGAACATAATGGAGACAGCACTGAAGTGCCTGAAAATTCTAGACAGCTAGGGAAGCCTGGGTGTGGTGCTACACCTCTGTAATCCAAGCACTCTGGAGGCTGCGGCTGGAGGATTATGAGTTTGAGGCCAGTCTGGGCTACATACTGAGACCCTGTGTCAAAATACCAAAAAAAAAAAATTCTAGGAATAGTTTGACTCACCCTATTTCTCCCACAAGGCCTATTTTATTTTATTTATTTTTTAAATAGAAGCTCTACTGTGAACATTGCAATGTTTATACAATTAACATTAATTGCCCAGGAACTTAATTCTTCTGAATCACAGGTATAGTAGGGAGGATTTAAGGAAGAAAAAAGCAAAAGTGTTTAACTGTCTTCCAGAGAAGTTTTCCCATGAGTCATTTATTTGGCCCTCTGAACTTCCCTATCCCTGTCCTCCTGAATTATCAAATAGAATTGAATAATAGACAGGTAGTATTTTAAAAAAGCTATTTCATCAAAATTCAACTTGACAGTAAAATAGTTTTGAATTCAACTATAGAAAAC